ATGACACAGGCCTGTCGCATATTCTCACAACTAGAGAAAGCTTGACCCCTGTTCCTTTCTATTGTATTTTCCTTCTGATGTTAAGGTAAAAAGCAGAGTTTGTTTTTGTTTCTTTTTTGCACAACTCCCGCATATGTTTCTGGCTTGTGGCTGAAAAGAACACAGGTGTTTGTGTCACATGCAGGCTCTAGATTTGGGAAAAGGAAACCATCTAGTGGCCCAAGTTGGCCTCTACTAGTGGTTTGCACCAAATGCAGTGCAGGTGATCATTTTCCCATGGGTTCTGATTTCTCAGCTTTATCTAACAGTCACTCTACTTCCTCACTTGCCCGAAGCTACCATGCATGGCTGGTAAGACAGAGTTCTACCCCTTTGTCCCTTGGATCCCACTCAATCTAAAGCTTAACTTACCTGGAAACCAGTCTTATCCTATACAGGCAGACCTTGTTTAGTATCCTCTCTAGTTCCATATCATCTTGCTAAGAAAAGCCTTGAGTTTTTCCTTAGTTTGTTAATACATTCAGTCAATACATTATTTAAGATCTGCTATTTTCAAGACACAGTGCGGGGCCTTTAAACTGCTGTTTATATACAAATGAAGAAGAGGCCCTAGCTGGGTAGCTCAGTTGGTTAGAGTGTCATCCTGATATGCCAAGGTTGTGGTTCAATCCCTAGTCAGGGCACATATAAGAATCAACCAATGAATGCATAAATAAGTGGAACAACAAATCAATGTCTCTCTCTCTCTCTCTCTCTCTCTCTCTCTCTCTCTCTTTTGTCTCCCTTTTTTTACCTCTATCTCTCTGTAAAAAATCAATAAATTAAATAAAAATGGCCTGGCTGGTGTTGCTCAGTGGTTGGTTGGGCACAGTCCCCTCCACCTGGGTGTTGCTGGTTCTGTTCTCAATCAGTACACATGCCCAAGTTGTGGGCTTGATCCTTGGTAGGGCCCATATAAGAGGTATCCAGTCTATGTTCCACTCTCACATTGATGTTTCTCTTTCCCTCTCCCTTCCACTCTCTCTAAAAATCAATTAAAAATTTTTTTTAAATGAAGAAGAATGATCTCTGTCTCCACAATGCTGAGAGGAGGCACTGAAACAGTCAAACCACAAGTGATAAGTACATGTCCTCAGATACGCATGGAGGACATGCTCCCGGAGTGCCAAGGGCGATACTTATTGTATCCGTCTGCGAAAGGCTTCATGGGACAGAGGCACCCTACTTGGCCTTGAAAATTGAATGAAATTTGAATCTGAGAACAGGAAGAAGAGCATCTTGGACAAAAACACAGCATGAGTAAAGGCACAGAGGTGTGAAGGCAGGATGTGTATTAAAAGCAGGGTCTTGCCAAGGCACGGACTCAGCCAAGAGCTGTCCACCCTCCCTCAGAGGCTCTCAAGGTACTGAAGGAGGAGGGCAGAAACACACCAGTGAAGGCAAAGACTGGCAGCCAGGGGGGGCAGAGGTATGCTTAGTTTGGCCAAGGTGCTGTTTGAAATATTTGAGCCAATTTCTAAAATCAGATTTCACCTAAAAATCCAGATTTCTGGTTTCTTCTGAAACTTGAAAGACCTGGGAACACAGGCGGTACTTTTTCAGGATGGCAGTTGACTGGAACTGAAGAACAGCTGCCTCTTTTCAGTAGGGTGTCATGTCTGTCTCCCCTACACAGAACTCAGCTTGCTTCTCCCTTCACCCTATCTGCTCAGCCCCACAGGTGTCTAAGCGGCAGGCCAGGTGCAAGCTCAGCTGAACCAAATGTGGAGACATGAATGACAGACCCCAAGGGCCTCTATTCCAGCTCACAGACTCCCACATGAGTTAGTTTTCAGGGTTCCCTAGATCTGGCTGCTACCTCAAAGATAGACTCCTCTTTAAAATGCACGGCTCTCAAAATTAGGAGATGTGGACGTATTTAAAGTATCTCTAAAAACAGCTCATGCTGCCCAGGACCTGAGGCCCAAAATTGTATAAATCAAACACATCAAAGTGTGGGGCGTGCCTGACTCCTTGTTTTTAAGGAAGCCGATTAGTGAGAAAGCTGACACAACCCAGTCCCTGCACTGTTCATCCTACCCTGCCAGAGCGGTTGGCGATTTATTAAATGGACTCTCCCTGTTCGGAATGTCTACGGTCAGCCCTTCTTCTCTGCCTCATAGCTCTCCTCAGTGTCCACCTTCAGACTCCTTCGTTAGCTGACAAGAATGGTACTGACAGCTGAGGAAGGTCCGATTCCTCATCGGGACAGGAAACCCAGCTTTGGAAAGTGCCAGTCCTCTTCCAGGGTGATCAGGAAAGCAGTGGCAGCAGCGTCAGTCATAGAGCCCAGGAATCCCACAGCTTAGCCCCGTGGTGGCAGCACTAATGAACTAGGAGGTCAGTTTGGTCATTCCTAAATCTAAGCTCTTGTAACTATAAATAAATACATAGAAGGAAAGGAATGCAGAAAAGAAAAATGAACGGGGAGGGGCAGGGGGTAAGGGAATGAAAACATAACTGGATTTCATTGAGGAAATTAGTTTAAAATGCCCTTTGTGTGGCAGTTGCACCAGTACCTTGCTGGTAACTGCTCAGGAGAATTCTTCCAAAATCTATGTCCCTTTTGCTAGACCTTGGTGTTCCTCGTAGGCTGGGGTTCAGTAATTCGGGGACAGTAGGAAGGCTTTTGTGTACTACGTCAAGCAGGAAGCAAAGGCCTGATGGACCACAAAACTGGATACTTTGTAAGGTACAGAACAGTCAGCACTTTCCCCTGAGGAGAGAACACACAATTAATTGGCAGGAAAGCGACCCAAGCGATGGGCAGGGGAGGGGAGCGTCCAAAAGTCCATTTCCAGCTCCACGTTCTTTCAGGCGTCAGACTGCATTGCTGTACTCCCTGGATATGTCTGACCAGATGCAAATGCTGGTCCCATGTAAAGGCCATTTGTGGACCAATGTGAATTAGATGGCAACGTTGGGAATGCTGGAAATGGGGAGGTTGTGTTTTGTTGGCTTTATCCCCCTGTGGTTTGCACCATCTGTTTCTTTTAATGCATAAACAAGGAAAATGACTGGCTTGGAATACAAAGTTTTTCAAAAAAACAGATGACCACAGGCATCCTCTAAATGAGAAAGAGAGAGCAAGTTGGGGTTCCGTGACATTTGTCAGGAAGTGAGAAGTTAAATACTGGGAAGCATTAATGCTTTGCCAGGGAAGCTCCACAAAGGCAAGGAAAAGCCTTGTCCATGCCCCGCCTTCCTGAGGTCATGCCCTGTGTTTACATTTCACCAAGGGTTTTATTTTCAGATCCCAACACCGCCCACCCCCCTCCCTTCTTAAACTAAAGATGAAGCTGTTCGGCATAACCAGCCTTGGTTTTCTATTAGCAGTATTGCTAACTTGGCAACCTTGCAGAGAATCTACTATTAGAAACTTTTAGAATGAACAAAGGCTGCGTTGTGAGCGTGTGCTACTATAAAGCCAAAATAGAGAGCTATAAATAGAGGAGCTGATGAGAAAGACAAAGAGAAGATACTTTATTTCTCTCCTCAACAGTAGTGAAATATATATATATATATGAGGGCATTAGGAACAGTGTGTTTTTCTTGAGCAAAGGGCATCCTGCTTTAAAAAGGAAGGTTTGCTCTGCACAACACAGTGGCTACTCGATAGAATAGTTCTGTATGCTCTGTGCCAACAAACCTTAAAGCAACAGATTCTTTTTTTAAACTGAAGGCAGTGGAGAGATTTGATGGAGTGGTGACTGCATTCTAATCTCTTTTACCTTCATTGCAAGAAGCAATCAGCCACAAGCATCAGGGATTTAAAACCAAACTGAACTGAGGCATTTTAGAGCCGCTGGGGAGAAGAGCATTGGTGCATTTGGCTGAGTTCCACCCTTTTCAGCACAAGACAGACATGAGCATTTTTCACATCGTTTGTAGGCAGCCTGACGCCAGAGTTTTCATATTAGAGAAAGGATTAAAGATGACGATTTCTTAGGGAACAATCAACTCCTCCTAATTTGCAAGATCTGTTCTCAAAAATTCCATGGGCAATACCGAGGTGGGCGCCGTTAATCATTCAGGGGCAGGGGTTAGGCAGAAATAAGACCCTGGCAATTTAGAAGCCTTGGGAGGATTAAATACATTTCAAAATGAGTATAAGTTCAAATAATTTCTCTATCCGTGCTTAGGACACAATGAAGTATGTAGATATGAAAACACAAGCCTGTTGGGTGCAATTGGTGTGATTGACATTGGCTCCAGGGTTTGTGATGAGTGGATTTGACTTCTGCCGGCCCTTGGACTTGGATACTGTCTGCGATGTTTGCTTCCCTGGTGGAAATGGGAAAATGATTAGAGCCTCGCACTCTGTTCCTAGGACTCCCTGACTCCGTGTTTAATTTGTTTCCTACATTAGATTGAAAGCTACTGGAGGCTTCTAAAGGCAGCACTGTGTGAGCATTGGTTTCATGAAAGTACTTTAGTGACCTGTGGAATTTTAGTTATAATCATAATAATGGCGGATGAAGAGGTGTCCTGGGGAAGGCATGAGAGGAATTTTAAGTGGCTGAACTCAATTTGCATTATTCATTTTACAAATAGTTTCAGAGCCTTAAATTTTTTTTTTTTCACTATGCCCTGCTTTTGAGGCTCCAAAGCAATAATCTAGGGTATTCATAACTTAAAAGTGATTCTCCCTTCAAGCACATTTTGGGAATTGAGTCTTTATCTGACCAGCTTTGAGATGATTTTGTTACCATGGGGAAGGGGGATAGAGATATTTCAGGGACTTGTTCTTCATGGGGATTCAAGAGGAATTAAAGTTTACTGGCCTCGTGTCCCCTTGTCTCCTTCCTTTTCTCTCTTTTCTGTTTCTTTGGGCTGTTTTTCGTTATTTTTTTCTTTCTTTTGATGGGGGCAATGAGGGAAGAGTGTCCGATGAGGAGGCTAGGCGACTCACTTAGGACTTGGCCTTGGAATTTTACACTTCTCTGTCTTCTTGCCCACAGGTGATAACCCCCGTGAGGACAGGCCATGGCTATGTGTACGAGTACCCATCTAGATACCAAAAGGACATCTACGATATCCCTCCTTCCCATTCCACTCAAGGGGTACGTACCATGCCCATGGTCCCCATGGGACAGGAGCACTTCAGGTGGCATTCCTTCAGCACTACATGTGAAAAGAAAATTACAAATTATGAAGCTTGATTTGTCTATTCAGGAGCTCTTGTAGCCAACATTATTAAATTATATTTTCTGGATTTGCTTTATCAAGAAATCCTAGGCTTTTATCTGACAAAGCTTTTGTTGCTTATCAATTTATCATTTTATTTCAGGAAATATATAATACCAACTACAGTTTAAAGTACAGACAGTGTAGATATTCCACTTATGATCATTTTTACATTCAATCTAAGTAAAAAAAAAATAAGAAATTAAAAAATTTTTCACCAACTCCATGTTATATAGAATGCTGTAAAAGAGGAAAGATGTACATAAGCTGGTAAATAAATCCACAGTTCAAAGCTTGAACGCATAAAAAATGACAAGTATAAGACATCCCTAAACTCAGGTATTTATTTTCAGGTATATGATATCCCTCCATCATCGGTGAAAGGCCCGGTGTTTTCAGTTCCAGGGGGAGAGATGAAACCTCAAGGGGTCTATGACATTCCTCCTACTAAAGGGGTAAGTGAGCTCCTACAAAGCAGCAAAAAAGTGTGTGTGTTTATTTACTGGGATGAAGCAGGCAGGACAAACCAAAAGAAAAACTAGTCTCTGGGAGAGAGTAAAGGGATGGGAGGGAAGGAGAAAGTGAGGAAGAAAAGGCAATAACTAAAGATAACCCTATGGATTCCATATTTAGAGTCCTCTCTCCCCCCCCCCCCCCCCCCCCTAAAAACGGGTTAGTCAATAAGGAGAGTCAATAAGAAGGTAAAATCATTCATTCAGTTTGGCAAGCAACTAATATATGTCATATGTATATAGGGTGTCACAGTACACTCTGTCCATGTATATGTGTTAATGAATTTGATTCACTCTGCTACCCTCAGGAGGAGGCCTACATGGGAAGTACAGTTATCCTTATTTTACAGATGAGGGAAGTGTGTCTGAGAACACCCAAGTGACTTATGAAGTATCACACAGCTGGTGGACCCAGGGAGAGACCTGAGGTCTTCTGACACCTCGTGCAGTGTGTACATGCATACTCTGCCTCTCAGCCTGAATCCTCCAAGGCTGGGACCAGAGAGAGCAACTCAGCCAGCACAGCGCACATAACAGGCAGCACTGGGGCCGGGGGAAGGACGAAGGAAATGGGAGCAGGTGGGGCCTTGGAAATACCTCTCATTAGTGGGTTGGGGTGGAAGAAGAGGAGGCAGTAAACAGGACTGAAAATCCAGGGCTTCTTCTTTTTTTCTTTTTTTCTTTTTGTTGTTTGTTGTTGTTGTTGTTAATCTTCACCCAAGGATATTTTTTCCATTCATTTTTAGAGAGACTGGAAGGGAGGGTTTGGGGAAGGAAGGAGAGAGAGAGAGAGAGAGAGAGAGAGAGAGAGAGAGAGAGAGAAACATTGATGTGAGAAAGACACTGATTGGTTGTCTCCCACACATGCCCCAACCAGGGCCCAGGATCAAACCTGCAATCCAGGTACCTGCCCTTGACCAGGAATCAAACCTGGACCCTTTGGTGCATGGGCTGACACTCTAACCACTGAGATACACTAGCCAGGGTCAGGCCTTCATTTTAATATGTAGTTGTTTCCCCATGTTCACATGAGCCAACTCAACAAATACTAGCTTTGGTTTCTACTTACTTTTCAGGTATATGCCATTCCACCCTCTGCTTGCCGAGATGAAGCAGGGCTCAGGGAAAAAGAGTATGATTTCCCCCCTCCAATGAGACAAGCTGGAAGGCCAGATGTCAGACCTGAGGGCGTGTATGACATCCCCCCGGCCAGTACCAAACTGGTGGGGAATGACCTTCACATGAAATATAACTGTGATGCTACGGGAGCTGCCGAACTGGTTGCACAAAGACACCCAAGCATTTCCCTGAAACACCCACCCTCACTGCTGGGACCGTCAGGGGGCACTCAGAATGATGCGTATGATGTCCCTCGAGGGGTACAGTTTCTGGAACCACCAGCAGAAACCAGTGAGAAAGCAAATCCTGAAGAAAGAGACGGTGTTTACGATGTCCCTCTGCACAACCCAGCGGACGCCAAAAGCTCTCAGGATGTGGTGGATGGAATCAACCGACTATCTTTCTCCAGTACAGGCAGCACCAGGAGTAACATGTCCACGTCTTCCACCACCTCAAAGGAATCTTCACTGTCAGCCTCCCCATCTCAGGACAAAAGGCTCTTTCTGGACCCAGACACAGCCATTGAGAGACTCCATCGGCTCCAGCAGACCCTGGAGATGGGCGTCTCCAGCCTAATGGCACTGGTCACGACCACAGACTGGAGGTGCTATGGATACATGGAACGACACATCAATGAGATACGCACCGCAGTGGACAAGGTGGAGTTGTTCTTGAGGGACTACCTGCATTTTGCCAAGGGCGCTGTAGCAAATGCTTCCTGCCTCCCGGAACTCACCCTCTACAACAAAATGAAGCGGGAGCTGCAGAGAGTGGAAGACTCCCACCAGATTCTGAGCCAAACCAGCCATGACTTAAATGAGTGCAGCTGGTCCCTGAATATCCTGGCGGTCAACAAGCCCCAAAACAAGTGTGATGATCTGGACCGCTTTGTGATGGTGGCAAAATCGGTTCCTGATGATGCCAAGCAGCTCACCACAACAATCAACACCAATGCAGAAGCCCTCTTTAGACCAGGCCCCGGCAGCTCCCATGTGAAGAATGGGCCTGAGAGCATCATGAACTCCACTGAGTACCCCCATGCTGGATCCCAGATGCAGCTGCTGCATCCTGGAGACCACAAGGCCCAGACCCTCAATAAGGCGGTGCCCCCACACCTGAGCAAGGATCAGCCTGTAGCTGACTGTAGCAGCAGTGATGGCTCTGAAAGGAGTTGGATGGATGATTATGACTATGTCCACCTACAGGTAAAGCAACCAGACTCCTAAACCACCTATAGCAGTGGTTCTCAACCTTCTGTCCCTTTAAATACAGTTCCTCATGTTGTGACCCAACCATAAAATTATTTTCGTTGCTACTTCATAACTGTAATGTTGCTACTGTTATGAATCGTAATGTAAATATCTGATATGCAGGATGGTCTTAGGCGACCCCTGTGAAAGGGTCGTCCAACCGCCAAAGGGGTCTCGACCCACAGGTTGAGAACTGCTGACCGATAGTCACATTCAGGGAGCCTAGAAGTAAGGCCTGTGAAGCTGGCGGGCTGGACTACCAGAGGAGAGAACATGATTAATATTAATCCAAACGGTTCACTAATTGGAGGCAATATACATAGGGAAGAACACTGGCCTGATAGTGTAGAGTCCTTGGTTTGAGACCTTCCTCTGACACTAATTGTGTGACCAACGTATGTAACCTCCCTGGGTCTTATTGTCCTCATTTGAAGCACAAGGTTGTATTTGACCCTACTGATGGAAGAGACTCCCTAGTAGGAGAGAGGGCCCTTGGAGAATCATACCAGCTCCACTTCTATTTGCCTTTTATGATATAGTTCAAAATGATATTTTATTTTTTAAAAGATGGGGCAGGGAGTTTAACTATTAAGAAAAAAATAATTGAAAGCCTCTGCACTAGAGAATTTCTAAGGTCCATCATATCTACTGTGTGTGTGTGTGTGTGTGTGTGTGTGTGTGTGTGATTACTTACAGAAAACTTAATCTCATCCCAGTCTTACCTTGAAGACCACTGGGCATTTGCCAGTTGATCTAGAACTTAACCTGGATATGGGAAATTGGGCAATCACAGTCTGCCTCCTACAGGTGGAAATTCCACCGAGTTGACCTGGGATCTTGATAACTTGCCTTTTCACTTTGGGGGATTAAAACATTCTACCAAGATCCATTATTTAGAATTTAGCTTACTCTCTTACTCTGCCATTCTTTTCATTTGACTAAGAGCCAAAGATTATCCTGAGAACTATAGTGTTTAACTACAATTCCCTTGAGTGCAGGATACTGGGGAAGGAAGCACTGAGCCACACCTAGTGCTAAGGAAAGGGCTGGTTGTCCAATTCTGCATGTTGAGAAGTATTATCATGGTGTAGAGTTGTAGATGATTCAAAGAAATTATAAGTGCAACGTGACCACATTTAAACCTGGGTTAGGAGGTTAATGGGTTCAAGTATAATCTATTAGAAAAGAAACCTAAGAAATAGTACTGGATAAGGAGGCTTGAAGGGGATCATGAATAGCTCTCTGAAAATGGTAAAGTGGAACAGAGAAGGTGGCACCCTACATGTAGCCCTAACTTAACACAGCCACTGTGGAGGTCTGGCCGAGAAGCACATCATCCCTGTCTAGGATTTATGGAGTCTAATTGGGCATGTGGGAAATTACCAAGGCAGTGGAAAATGAAACAGTACTTAACCATTTGTCAATGAAATTGTTAGCATAAGTGAATCATAGTGGTGATGTAATGTTTGCTTTATGTTGAAAAATAATAGGGTAAAGAGGAGTTTGAAAGGCAACAGAAAGAGCTGCTGGAAAAAGAAAATATCATCAAACAGAACAAGATGCAGCTGGAACATCATCAGGTAAGTTCAATCAGGACAAAAACCACTTGGTATTGAAAAGATTTCCTGCTTAATAAGAAAGGTATAACTTCAAAAGATCGGGATTTTGATCCTTCCAGCACACTTTAGTATAAATAAGCCCCAAGGCATATAATAGAGCATAAGAACAAAGAGAAGGTTTATGATCTTAGTAATCCAGCTGGTATACCTGGATTACATCCAAACAACAATTTTTCCAGGCTAAGCCTGTACATCTACCATATTAGGACTGTTTGGGTTAAGGCTGTTGATCTCAATGAACAAGACCCACTCAAGCTGGCCCAAGCAAAAAGATTTTCTAGTCAGGGAAATTCTGGAACAGAAAATGAAGATATACCCAAGTCCAATGAGAACTGGGACTGTAAATTCTTTCTCCTTCTTGTACTCCCTTCGCTTCTCTTTAAATTTGCTTCCTTCTTCCCTATTTTCTTATAGTTTCCCCTGCTTATCTACTCATTTGTCTCCCCTGTAACTTTACAGAAACCATAAATGGCCACTCACAACCCTTTCTATAGATGGCTTTTCATCTCACCTGATAGTTGACTCCTGCTGTGATTCATCAAATTCCTAAAAAAGAATCTGATTAGGCTATCTCTGTCTGTCAATCTATCTGTCTATCTGTCTATCTATTTCCCTACCTACCTATCACTCCCCTACAACACAAGCCTCTGGGTTGGCTGCTCTTGGTCAAATCTAAGGGTAGGAGGGCAGGATCCAACATTTTCAAAATATACCCAAGTCCATTTACTAAGGACTTTGGGCAAGACAGAGTCATTCAAAAGTAGAGCTTGAGTGGGGCAGATAATGATGTGTATTGCTGGTGCAGGCATAAAAATAAAGAGGAACCAATTGAGGATATATAAGCCCTTTTTTAGATTACATAGAATGGCATATAGAGACATGAAATGGCAATTGCACTCAGGAAACCAGAGTTCTAATTCTTCCTTTCTGACTAACCAGCCGTGTGCCCTCAGACAAGTCATTTAACCTCTCTGAACTTCAGTAACTTCTCCATAAAATGAGAAATCCCTCAGCCCTCTATCTAAAAAGATGATGTATTTATAGACATATTTGCAAAAGCATAAATTCAGTACTCTGAAGCAGCACCCTATCTCTGTTTATGTTTGCTTTGGCATTAGGCCAAGTAAAACTGCAGGGCTTTAGGTAACTTATTGAAACTGTAGTAATTTCTAAGAAAACAGATTCTGTAGAAAAGTAAAGCTCACTGTGCATTTCTCAGGGAAGGAGCTGGGCAAGGTTATCCCTGCTCTACCTCAGGGTGAAAGATTGAGTCCTAAGCTCAGGTTACAGATAGTCCTTACCTGCAAAAGACAATCTCTCTTGAGAGTCGGTGGGATAGCTGGAAGTTATTATTATTGCAACTTAAATAATACACCATCTGGGGGTTGTAATAAGAGAAGGAAGAAAGCTAACACTTGTTGAGTCTGACTCTGTGGCATGTCGTTTTCTTTCAACAGCTCTGTGGAACTGTTATGATGCACAATTAACATTTAGATTTCCTTAGAGATGTTCTTTTCCACAGTGCACATATAGTTCATTAGTCTTTCCTGTAGTGCTGGATAATCTATATATATAAAAGGCTAAGCGACCGGCCAACCAGCCCACCGGCCGGAAGATATGACACTCAGTGACCACCAGGGGGCAGACACTCAACGCAGGAGCTGCCAAGTGACAGCAACTTTACAGAGTGCCCTCTCACACTCTAGGACCCCTCGGGGGACGTCTGACTGCCAGTTTCGGCCCCATCCCCGAAGGCCAGGCTGAGGGACCCCACCTGCCAGAAGGACCCCATTCACTCGGCAGATGCCCTTCGAGCTCCAGCGCTGCCCCAGGTGCAGCTGGCCAGGGAGGGACTGCGGGAGGTTGGCTCCAGGGTGTGTCTGGCCCATCTCAGCCTGTCCCGCCCACTGGCCACCTTCTAATTAATTTCCTTTCGATGTGCACAAATCCGTGCACCAGGCCTCTAGTGACTTATATAAATCTTGACAGAAAGAGTAGGAATGGTTCATAGAGTGTCATTTATCTTAGCAATGGGTCATGGGTTGTCATTTGTACCAAGAAATGGGTCATGGGTTGTCATTTGTACCAAGAAATGGGTCATGGATTGTCATTTGTCTAAGCATCTTGAAGGACAGAGTCAAAGCTTTCCTGTCAGCAATTTACTTGATAAAGAGATCCCTACATTTGCTTTCCCCTGCACCACTCAACATTTATAAACATTTACATAGAGGCTGTCCTATACCAAACATCATTCTAAGCACTTTGTAAATATTAACTCGCTTAACTTTCATAAAGGTATAGGTAACAGAGCTAGGTTTAAACCCTGTTCAGCCTTCAGTCTAAGGGCAGAGGAGGCCAATCATCCAATCATAGAAAGTCAGAGCTGGTGGATTTCTTAGGGATCACCTTTCTCAACTTCTACATTTTACACTTTAGGAAAGCAAGACGACTTGACCAAGGCTTCATATCTAATAAGCACCTGGGATTAAAACCTCTGTCTTTTAACACCCACCCCTGATTAATTTCCATTACAGCACACTGCCTTACCCTCAATGAAATCTGCTTTTGTCTTCCTTGCAGCTAAGTCAGTTCCAGTTGTTGGAACAAGAAATTACAAAGCCTGTGGAAAACGACATGTCAAAGTGGAAGCCCTCTCAGAGCCTCCCCACCGTAAACAGCAGCGTGGGCGCTCAGGATAGGCAGTTGCTTTGCTTCTACTATGACCAGTGTGAGACCCATTACATTTCCCTTCTCAATGCCATTGACGCTCTCTTCAGCTGCGTCAGCTCCGCCCAGCCCCCGCGGATCTTCGTGGCACACAGCAAGTTTGTCATTCTGAGCGCGCACAAACTGGTGTTCATTGGAGACACGCTGACAAGGCAGGTTGCTGCCCAGGACATTCGCAACAAAGTGATGAACTCCAGCAACCAGCTCTGCGAACAGCTCAAGACTATAGTTTTGGCGACTAAGAAGGCCGCCCTCCACTACCCCAGCACTACGGCCTTGCAGGAAATGGTGCACCAAGTGACAGACTTGTCCAGGAACACGCTGCAGTTCAAGCGCTCTTTGCTGGAGATGGCAACGTTCTGAGAAGGAAAGGAGGACAGGAGGACTGAGTGGGTTACTAAGGAAAACTGGAAATACTATCTGGTTTTTGTAAATGATATCTATTTTTGTATATATTTTATATGGAAATGAAATATTTTAACATTTTATGGGTTAGACAACATTCAGAACTTCAGGGAGCTAGAGAGGAAACTTTGTGTGTGTGTGTGTGTGTGTGTGTGTGTGTGTGTGTGTGTGTGGTTCTTGTGTACACATGTAAGCATCCCGAACATAAACTGTACAGAAACTTGTCCACATGCGTGTGTGTGCCTGTGTTCATATTCGTTTGTAGATGTTTGTCTGATACATTCCATTCAAAAACATGAATTAAGAAGCACCTTAATAAGCACCTCCTAATGCTGCATTTTTTTTAGAAAACATACCAGCTGGTTATAATATACCTACATATACTAGCAATTTATTTTGAGCCTGTCACTTCCACGTCTGGGAAGGATAGTTTATTTGCAAATGCTCACCTCCCAAATAACAAGGCATGATATAACTTATCCTTCTTTTGAAGCCCCTTCCAAAATTGACTATCTTGGACACATTAGTACAAACTGTCTCACTTCTGGTTGAAAAGGTTTCAGAAAGTGATCTAAGTTCCTATATTCTGGGAGCTGGAGAGGGAAGAGACACGTGTGGTAAGAAGCCAAGTCCCATTTAGCACTGGGTTGTTTCAACACTGTGCGGACCTCACGATAAAAGGAGAGAGTGTGTTTCCCGAAACTATTTAATGGTCTGTATTTTTGAGTGATTTTTGCCATGAGATTTTCCAGATGATGTTTTCAGATTTGCAAAAACCATATTATTTGCAGCAGGAGTTTATAAAGACACATCAGGCTCTAATCATCCACAAAAAGAAGGATGATTCTGTCTGCAGGTGTAAGTAGAGGCCTTTCTGACTCTCAGCATTCGCTTAGGTGCTACTACCCCACCATTACCTGAGGGAAACCGGCCAGTTCCTTGGGCACCAGAATTTTAGAGCCACTAGGCCACATCCGACTCTAAGAGAATTTATTGCTTCATCTTGCACCCTCCGTAAACCATGGCAGACTTTACACTTAGAGTAGCTATACTGAGCCCATTTAATCTTTACAACTCTGTCTGGACAACAATCCTGCATATACAGCCCACCACTCACACAGCATCCATTCCATAGTCTGTCCCCTTGCTCCTGCTGGTGTTGGCACAGCACAGACACACCACAAGCCACCTGATTCATCATAGAGCAAATAAAATACTTCCTGCCTGGTGAGAAAATGCATTCACATATTACCAAGTCAAGAAGCATGCTATCACCCTGGCCAGTGTGGCTCAGTTTGGTTGAGCATCATCCCATGCACTGAGAGGTCACCAGTTCAATTTCTGATCAGGGCACATGCCTGTATTGCCTGCTGGATCCCCAGTGGTGGGGGGTTGGGAGGGGGGAGGTGCAGAAGACAGCCGATCAATGTGCAGAAGGCAGCAGATCAATGGTTCTCATGGATGTTTCTCTCTCTTCCCCTCTCTCTAAAATCAATAAAAACATAAAATAAAAAAGAAGCACACTATCTACGGTCTTTCAGTCCAGTTCTTATTTAATGGTTTTATTCCAGCCTATTTGAAAACATTTTTATTTACAATGTATGCTTTTAACAGAATTAAGCTTGTTTGTTTTAAACAACCAAATCATTGGAACAGGACAAGATTTAAAGAGAAGAATGTGTAATCTCAGTATGGTGAAATACCAGTGAAACTTATCATAGAAGGTGCTTTTCAAAACAAAGTTCTGCTCTGCCAAAATAGGATTAAAAGTTGTATTGTTATATGATAAGTAAATGTGTAGGGAGGAAGGGGATTGCTGAAAATCGACAACACTTGGAAAGTATAAAAGTGTGTCCTTGTAGATTTCATTGTAAATGTGTATTTCTTTGGAGGTGACAGATTTGTTCTAAGTGGTGACATTTCATGTTTGTAAAACCAAAATGTTCAATATGTATGACTCTCTTTGTTCTTGTGTATGTAGAAGCTATTTTAAATCATTAAATTTTTTAGATCTGTGTTTTCATAGCCACTGGGTTTTCTTTTTCATATTTCCCTCCTTATCAAAAAATTAAATACAGGCTTATCTTGGCACTCCTCATACAGAGTCATTTTTATTGATACCATAGATCTGGATTTTTTAGGAAAATCAAGTTGTGTATATTTTTATCTTATGTCACTTCAGAGTGTATTTGCATTTGAAGAAAAATCTGCGATCTGTTAACATTACGAAACCCAAATATCTGGAACAAGGCTCCTCTTCATCAGAAAGCCTGTACTTTTAAGTGATGGAAAGGATGATTTCTGCTACAATATGAATACTGCCATTCATGTGGTTTTAGAATCAAAGGAAATTGTTCCATTCATTCTGGAATAGACATAAAGAACAATTTTAAATAAACTGTATTTGATGAAAAGAAGATTCATAACCACGTAAATTATTTTTAATGTTTAGACTGTTCTTTCACTCAGGTATCCTACTGGAATTTATAGGTAAAGTGTTTGAATATACCTTGTATCACTTGCCCACATCTATAAACATTAATTGGTTTTGAAAAAAATGATGCTTGAACAACTAGATCTCTCCATGAAAAAAAGTGAATACTTACCTTACACCCCACACAAAAATTAACTCAAAATAATCATAGACCTAAATGTAAAACTTAAGGCACTGGCCAAGTAGCTCAGTTGGTTAGAGCATCATCTTGATACACCAAGGTTGTGGGTTCAATCCCCTATCAGGACACACACAAGAATCAACCAATGAATGCATAAATGAGTGGAACAACAAATCAATGTGTATTTCTCTCTCTCTCTCTCTCTCTCTCTCTCTCTCTCCCTCTCTCACATCAATAAATAAAAATAAATTTAAAACTTAACATTCTAATACTTCTAGAAGTAAACAAAGGAGAAAATTTTTGTGTAGGTAAACAAAGTTTCCTTATATAAAACATAAATAAGCATAAATATAAAAGAAAGAACTGATAATTTGGATTTCTTCAAAATTAAAAACTTTCACTCTTAAGGAGACCATTAAGAAAACAAAAAGGTACAGAAGGGGAGAAAATATTTATACCACATGCATCAGCCAAGGATATGTATCAGAATAAGCAGACAACCAAATTTTTTTTAACTGAGCAAAAATTTTGAACAGAAACTTCACAAAAGAAGACATAGCCGAAACCGGTTTGGCTCAGTGGATAGAGCGTCGGCCTGCGGACTGAAAGGTCCCAGACTCGATTCCGGTCAAGGGCATGTACCTGGGTTGCGGGCACATCCCCCGTAGGAGATGTGCAGGAGGCAGCTGATCGATGTTTCTCTCTCATCGATGTTTCTAACTCTCTATCTCTCTCCCTTCCTCTCTGTAAAAAATCAATAAAATATATTTTTAAAAAAAAAAGAAGACATGAATGAACGAATGAACAATAAGTAAATGAAATATAGCCCAGCCGCTCATGGCTCAGTGGTGGAGTGTCGACTTGTGAACTAGGAGGTCACAGTTTCATTCCAGGTCAGGGCACATGTCCAGGTTGCGGGCTCTATCCCCAGTGTGGGGCATGCAGGAAGCAGTCTATCAATGATTCTCTCTCATCATTGATGTTTCTATCTCTCTCTACCTCTCCTTTCCTCTCTGAAATCAATAAAAAATATTTTTAAAAGAAATATAAACACACCAAATAGAATCACTAAAATTAAAAAGACAAGCCATACCAACTGCTGACACAAAGTGAGACAAGTGAAGCTCTCATACACTGCTGGTGAGAACATAAAATGGTAAACACTTTTGAAAATTCATTGGTAGTTTCTTAAAAAATTAAGTTGGTGCCTACCATATGACTTAGCATTCCTCTCCTAGGTATGTACTCAAGAGGAATAAAAGGCGTGTATAAGGATGTTTATAGCAGCTCTATTTGTAATAGCCAAAATCTAGAAACAACCCAAGTGTCCATCTATGTGATATAGCCACACAATGGAATACTACACAGAAATAAAAGGGAACCAAAAAATTAAAACAAAAACAACATGAATGAATTGATGTATACAAGAAGCTAGACCAAAAAAAAGAGTACATATGGCATGTCTTCATTTATGCAAAATTCTAGAAAATGCAAACCACAGTTACAGAAGGCAATCAGTGATTGACTGGGAAGAGAACTGGTGTCAGGGATGTTACAAAGGAGCTCGGGAAGCTGTTGGGAATGATGAAAAGACTATTATTTTTTGTTGTTGTTGTTTTACTGTCCTATTAAGTGAATTTAAAAAAAAATAATTATTGTTGAAAGTATTACATATGTTTCCTTTTTCCCCCCATAGATGCCCTCCAGTCCGCCCCCACTCCCCACCCCAGGACCTCACCACCCCATTGTCTCTGTCCAAGTGCCATGCACATATGCAAACAAGGTCTTTGGTTGATTACCTCCCACCCTCCCATCCTCATCCGCCTTCTCTCTGAGATTCCGCACTCTGCTGCATGCTTCTATGTCTCTGGATCCACTATGTCCATCAGTTTATTTTGTTACTTAGATTCCACATATGAGTGAGATCATGTGATACTTATCTTTCTCTGACTGGCTTATTTCACTTAGCATGATACTCTCAGGTCCCTCCATGCTGTCTCAAAGAGATTCTTTTTTACTGCTGCATAGTATTCCATGGTATAAATGTACCACAGCTTTTTTATTCACTCAACTACTGAGTTGGACTGTTTCCAGATCTTAGCTATTGTAAATTGTGCTGCTATGAACATAGAGGTGCATGCATTCTTTTTGATTGGTGTTTCAGGTCTCTTAGGATATATTCCTAGAAGTGAGATTACTGGGTCAAATGGTAGTTCCATATTTAATTTTTTGAGAAAACTCCATACTGTTTTCTATAATGGCTGCACCAGTCTGCATTCCCACCAGCAGTGTACTAGGGTTCCCTTTTCTCCACATCCTTGTCAGCACTTGTCATTTGTTGATTTGTTGATGGAAGCCTTTCTGACAGGTGTGAGGTGATACATCATTGTCGTTTCAATTTGCATCTCTCTGATGATCAGTGACTTTGAGCGTTTTTTCATGTGTCTCTTAACCATCTGCATGTCTACTTTAGAGAAGTGTCTATGTAGGTCCATTGCCCATTTTTTAATTGGATTGTTTGTCTTCCTTCTGTTAAGTTGCATGAGTTTCTTAAATATTTTGGATATTAGCCCTTTAACAGATGTATCATTGCCATATATGTTCTCCCA